TTTCATTGTCTTTATGATGTCTGATACGTCTCATGTAGGTTTTTTGTCTTTTAATTTGTCTATTCTTACCATAACACTATCTAACCAAAGACACATTTCCACTTGCATGGACTGTAAAACACACACTACAGGTTTCTGTGGTGTCAACAGATGTGCTTTGCAGACACCGAATGTGTTGCCTTTGCTGTGCATGAAGATCCAACTGAAACGCACAACACCTTAAACTTTGTACGCCATAGTTTACTTGCTGCAGAGACTGATTTAATAAGATTTAAAACACATCTGGAGAAACAGAATTTACTTTTTTAATTTACTTTAAACTAAATTGTTTTGGGCCTTGGCTTGACTTTTACTCACCACCTACGCTTTGATTACCTTTGTAGTGCAATATGAATCTGTACTGTGAGTGTATATTCAAATTTGCATCCAGCGATGTGTGTGTCTGCGTTTCTATTTTGGGCAGATCCTTTTTTGTTGTTAGCGCACCGCTGCCTTGAGCGCGGAGGCCCCAGAAAGTGGAGCAGCACAATAGCTTTGATGTTGTGATGTCTGCAGGGTGGTGTAAGCGCTGCAGCCTGCCTGCTGTGTGGACGGAGACCGAGACGTATACAAGGCCCTCTAACAGCACAGATTAGTGTAATAGACCAGGACTGACACTCTGCTATACACACACACACACACACACACACACACACACACACACACACACATACACAGAGTAGCACAAATGATCATGAGGGAATGGAGTGACAGTAATACACTTTACATAATGTTACAGAGGGCTCATAACTGACTCACAGCTACTGATATTAAGTTTGTCACTAACTGACTCGCACTCTTGCTGGTGCTGATTCATAGAAAAACACCAAAAAATGAATAAAAAAACGCTCAGAAAGTAAAACATTCACACTCAGTTTAAATTAAATTCTAAATACATCCCAGATGGAAAACAAATACACACAACAGGAATACATAATGTGGAAATTTCCCCCTATACTCTGTTTTCAAAAATGACATTATCAAGCAGTTATTCTGCTAAATTTAAATTCCACCTCCCTCTTTGGCAATTCATCAGCAGAAGAGACGATCAAAGTGCTAATTATGTTTCATGCTTCAGGGTTTTCTTATGTGTATATTTTCAACCACAATTCTCCCTCCTCTGTGTGTTTTTTTCTACCTGGGTTTCCTCTGTGAGTTTATCCCTGTCTTCTGACAGCTCATGGTTGTGCTGTTCATCAGGGATCAGAGAGCGGAACGAAGCACTGTGACAATTTGACGCTGCCGGTTAGAGTGAACCAACGGCGTGACTGGTCCAGGTGTGAGCAGACTGTTCACATGATCAGTGATGAAGGAAATGCAAAATACTTGAAATACTTACATCTGACCTGCGCACTGTAGACCGAAGGGAAATGGGAACATTTAATTTTTAATTTGGGGTGTGAGGGAGGAGAAATGAGAAAAGCAAACAATGGTGCAAAGAGTTTAAGTTTCAGTGAAACAGGCATCCCATTAACCCTGCGATGACCTGGGACACAAAGGAGTTAACTTAATGGGGCTGCTGTGTGTGGACAGTTTGCGCATGAGTATGTGTGCATAGGTTTGGAAGAGGGAGATGAAACTGAAAAAAGGGCAATAATTATTCTTTTCAACCCTGCAAACATGCAGCAGAAGATGAATAATGCATGAGTTTATTATTATAGCCCCTCATTAATCTGACCTCAGACAGACACGCTGACCCATTAACTTAACAGGTTTGATGCTGAGAAATCACAGCAAAACATATGAATAATTATAGCATCATTTTGTGTTAAAGTCATTAAAGCTACAAATCGAACTGCTGTAAAATGCATCGAGGGATCCTCATTTAACGGTTTGGACTGACTTTATACTGCATGTGTTGTTTGAGTTCAGTAGTTTGAGACTGAAAATCTTCTTCTTCAAAACCATCACAGTCAGCAATTGCAGACCTGAAACGGCATGCACTATCAAGGTAATGGTAAAGTCATTGAGGGATGCAATTATACAGCTGGAATTAATGTAAGATTTGTTTTATAAGAGCCTAGCCAAAATGTTGCATCATCATGCAAAATTTAAAAATAAAAGACAGGGCTTTAATAGTGAGTGAGCACCTTTTACACTCTCATGATCCCCCTGCACCAATCATCCTGCTCTGTGATTGGACCTTTTCTGTTGAAGTGACTCAGTGGAAGATGATTCCTGAGCAGCTCTCTGAGATTTCTCTTTCTGTCCCTGTCAGCTTGAATTTACTGTAGTGCAGACTGGTCGTGAACAGACCAAGGAGGATGGCATTTAAGTGTGTGTATATATATGTGTGTGTGTGTGTGTGTGCAATAAGGTAAATTCAGAAGCATCTGATTTATTCATGTCCCGCGAGGAATTGTTAATTTTTCAACAGGTGAGACGTGGGAGCGATCTACACTACATTTCTGTATTTGTGTGCATATGCACGCGTGAGTGTGTGTTTTGTGCGCGTCCCATAACTGTCAGTCAGGAAAACTTGTTTTCCTGTTGCCTCGGCTCCTTCACAGCTCCTATCTCCCTCTTTCTCTTTTCCTTCCACCACTCGTCTCCTTCTCCCCGTCTCCTCCGTTTTTCTTGCTCGAGTCTCTTTTAGCACAAGAGCCTCATTTATTCATGCTTCTGGGCCCTTGATGCCATTTTCAGCTAGTTGCCAAGAACTCCTTTTTAAAAATTAACAGAGTCGACAAGTTAAAGAAAATAAATTAAACACATCGTTGCCCTGCTGGTGCTCAGGCTGGTTTCAAGTGTGTGCACATCAAAACCGCTAATGTGCAGAGAGTAAGACTGAACCTGAGAGAAGGTTATTTATACCTCCAGCTTAAAATGCATGCAGCAGTGTGTTATATGGAGCTTTTTCATGTGTTTTTTTGTGTTATTTCTATGGCTTCTGGTCCTGCAAGTTTCAGCTGCTTCCTGCTGCTCTCCTTTCAGTGCGCTTTGAAGTGAAAGAAAAGGAAAGCTATTATCATTTTCTTTATCCTAGTGTTAGCCTGGTGCTTTCTCTTCATGAATGCTTGTCTTCAGAAAGGATAAATACGTTGCTATTCGATCCTATGTGTGCACAAGTCAGGCACAGTACCTTGCATTGAGCATTCCTTATCCTGTATGTTTCAGTGAGAGATGCTATTAAATAATTGTAGAAAAGTCATTTCTATCCAGAATGGAGTAAATATTCCCGCAGAGGGATTACAAAATTCAAAATATCACTGCATCAAAGTTTCTCCCTCTCTACAAAGAATGGTTTTGATATATTGGGATATTGGCTTATTGGCTTTCCCGCCCCCAGCTCCTGGACTTAGTGTACAGATGTGAGAGTGGTATCAATCTTCTCACGTCGAACTTTTATAATATCCCTTAAATATCATCCTTATCCCGATGCATGATGCACTACTGTCTCTCACTGTACTTTATGTCGTATCCACACACAGCAAGCCTAGACTTTTCCCTTTTTATCTTTTTTCTCTTCTCTGACGCAGCTCTTTCACTCAGCCTCAGGGGTTGATCCACTAATTTTAGCTTGGCACAGAGGCAAAGACACAGATGAGACTCTTCTTGTTAATCTAATTTGCAAGTCAAAATTGTTTCTCTGTTCCTTCGTTGTGTTTTTCCTCCTCATTCCCCACATGCTTCCACCGTGATCTTCTCTTTTCCCCTTCTCTCCCCAGCGATTCAGCAGGTGCCTTTTGTCTGTAAGACATGTGGAAAAGGTCATGAAACACAGCTTTTGTAATGGGGCAGTACTGTGTACTGTGTGTGTGTGTGTGTGTGTGTGTGTGTGTTACATTGAGGGAAAGTGGAGAGAGCCTCAGTGGGCTGTGATAAACGCAGTCAAAAGGGAGAGCAGGCAGACTCAACACTGCAGGCCAAACACACATACACACATACACACACACACACACACACACACAAACACACACACACACACACACACACACAAATTACATTCGCCTCACATTAAGAACATCAACAGATGCTGGACAAGTGCTTGATTACATTTGGTTTATAACATTAGTGTAACACACGATTAGACTGAGTAGTTGCCTTGTTCACCGTAATGATCTCACTTACATTCTCAGACAAATACGCAGCAGTCACTACTGTTAAAGGAAAATCTGAGCCTAAAAGTGCATTTAAAAATAGTATTAGTGATCAGTCTTATATTTCTTGAACTGTTTTGTTGACTGGCTACTTTGCATTTCATGTACATATCTGGCCAGATCTGCACACTGGACTATACTGTAGTTTCTGAACTATATTAGACTGAACAGGCAATGTTTTGACTCGCACTGATTTAATTTTTGCTTGTTTGATCAAGACTCGTCTAAACTAGTGGTTCCCTGTCTTTTTGATTTGCGACCCCTTGGGAGGTCCCAAGTCCAACCCTTCAATTGGGAACCAATGGTTTAAATGTTACTGACTAAATATAGGCTGTGCATACCCTTCTGTATCAAAGTGACATTACAAAATGCAGCTGTCCGAAACATTAAACATCATTTTGCACTGACATAAAAAAAATCAATATACACAGGATGTGTCGTAGAAGGAATGCCATAATTATACAGGTGCATCTAAAACATTTTGAATATCAGGGAAAAGTCCATTGTTAGCACCAGAACCAGACTTTCACCAGAACTAGACTTTCTCTACAAACAGTAACTCTATAAGTTCAGCCACAAGTCACTGATGCTTCCTCTACTTTCATGTACAATACACAGCTGTATACCACACAGCTAAATGTGGTAGTATTTGTTTGTATTTCGAAGAAATTGCAAACTGACTTTGAGATAGATGTCGCAGGTTGATGGGAAATGTGCGTATCGAGAAGTCAGTAACTCGTGGAAGAATGTGAATGTTTATAAATTAATTATATCAAAAAGCATCTGAGGATTACTACTGGATTTCTCCTTATATCAGTTGTTTCTCTCTCCCTCTTCTCTGTCCTTCTCTCTCACTCCCAGTGAGCAGAGTATCTGCCAGGCACGGGCCTCCGTCATGGTCTACGATGATACCAGTAAGAAGTGGGTGCCCATCAAGCCTGGACAGCAGGGATTCAGCCGCATCAACATCTACCACAACACTGCCAACAACACCTTCAGAGTGGTGGGCGTCAAACTGCAGGACCAGCAGGTAACGGACAGAAGATGACTTCATGCTGCTGGGATATAAGTGTAGATATGGAGTTAATTTCAGCCATTTAGTCACTAGAGGGAGAGATTTCATCGAGCTGTGGGAGGACAGCAATATACAGAACATTCAGGCTATTTTGGATTGTGACTGTGGGGTTTCTTTTCAAGTAACTTGCAAGACCAAATAGTTGTTGTGACTGAAGGAGAGTTTAATGGGGAAAAAGTTAATAGCCTTATATCTTATGTTGGGCTAAGCCTCTGTCTGGGTTTGTGCGTGTGCATGAACCCTAGTGTTTCATTAAAGGTCTTTAGTAGCGCTAATCCTTCTCTGCTGAGACCTTCTTCCTCTCTGTCAGTCTCTCCAAAGGCAATGTCTCATTAGTACTCAGCTCTCTTAAGTGTGTTTATGTGTTTGCGTGTGTGTTGGTGATAAGAAACAAAACACACTTGCTTCCAATGATATTGTGTTGATCACATGCAACAGTAAATCAGAAACAGAATCGACAAAGATAGCCAAAAACATAACATTAAATATGAAATAAACTCCAAAATTGTCACCTCACAGCGAGAAGGTCGTGGGTTCAAACCCCGCTCGTCCCAGGCCTTTCTGTGTGGAGTTCGCATGTTCCCTGCGTTTGCGTGGGTTCTCTCCGGGTGCTCCGGCTTCCTCCCACCATACAAAGACATGATAGACATGGTTGATTGGTGACCCTAAATTGTCCTTAGGTGTGAGCATGAGTGGTTGTTTGTTTATGTGTGGCCCTGCGATGGATTGGCGACCTGTCCAGGGTGTACCCCGCCTTTTGCTCGATGGCAGCTGGGATTGGCTTCAGCCCCCCGCGAACCTGTACACAGGATAAGCGGTTGGCGATGGATGGATGGATGGATGGATAGTTAGTTCCTTGCAATGCAATTTTGTTGAACCAGTGACACAACACAAATCACTAAATCCTTTCAAACACACAGCCATCAATTCTGTGACATTTAAAAAGTCTTTTTCTGCCAGGAACACAACAGAGTTATGAGAATAGCGATCATGTTGTATTTTTCTCCCCAGCCTGCCATCTGCAAACAAAGAAGAATGGGCATCCAAAATGAAAAATCTTTTTGCAATTCTTAAACTACAGCTCCTTTTCTCATCTGTTCTCCTCTTTCTCTGCTCTCACAGGTGGTTATCAACTACTCCATAGTGAAGGGCCTTAAGTACAACCAAGCCACACCGACCTTTCACCAGTGGCGGGATGCCAGGCAGGTCTATGGCCTCAACTTTGCCAGCAAGGAGGAGGCCACCACCTTCTCCAACGCCATGCTCTTTGCCCTCAACGTTCTCAGTGCACAGGATGGAGGTGTGTCTCCCCTCAGTCTATCACACGATCATGGCACACTTGGAATAATGCTTAAGTAGCCTATAATGGATAATTTCCTTATTTTAGGAAAAGCTCACACACTTGTTACCCACCTGCCCCTCAGCTTCACATATTGCCAATTCAAAAAGCAGATTGAACAAACATTACAAACACAACTTGGGAAAAGTTCATGTGAGCAAATAAAATGCTTATCATCATCTTGAATGATTGTCATTTTTGGGACAGGTAAACTGACCTTTATCATAACAGTAAAAAGAGAGAGACTTGTCAGAGATGACAGTCACACACTTAGATTCTTGATGCAGCCTGTTTATAAATCCAGCCATATCAATAATGCAGTAGAGTGCAGCAGGAAGCCCCTGATGGAGCTAACAGTATCCTAACTCCCTTCCATACGGGGCTTCAGTTAAGGTCATTACCAAACAATAGAGTTTTTAAACTCACATTAGAGTAAGAAGGCGACACAGCCACTGAAGTTGTGCAACTTCTACATGTAGATCAACATACAGTAGGTGTGTATGCACTGAAACTGACAAACTGATCAGTGGCAGAGCTAGTCATACTAAGGTTAACAATGTAGCTTGGACAAGATCATTTATTGATTGTTGAAGGTTTGCAATGATCTGTATTTGTGACAATATCAACACACTCACAACACAATGGTAACTTGAAAGAGAGGGACAGTAAATACAAATACAGAGAAAATTTAAAAATGAAACTAAACAAAACTACAGTTGTGAACTACATTTACCATGTTGCACCTCAAAGCTTTGTGTGATGTCATTCTAGTTCGAGGCTTCCCATCTGTCAAATATTTGCCCTGATTAAATGTCTAGTGACTGAAAGCTTAGCATCATAGTAGTAGTAGTAGCTGTCCTACAGTATCAGTAGTAGTAATAGTTGTAGTAGTACTGGTGGCAATGGATGTATAGAAATTTCCTTCCTAGTAGTTTCACAATTTAAGAACAACAGCAACTACAAGAAATAAAAGAAACATTACATGTGCTCCTGTATAGACCCCTGCTCGGGTTAAAGCGTGAAACTAGAGTGATAGATGCAACACAGCTAATAGGAGGGTCAGAGCGGTGCCAGACATTATAGCTGGATACTGGATTACAGCTATAACTGGATGCAAATGCTGACTTACTGTGTTAGCCTTTCAAGTGTGACACTAGTTGTCAAAGTGCAATTGAAAATTGACAAAGATGCACTGTAACCAATTACATATAGACTTTTTTTCACTTCAGACATTTTGACATGTAATTTAAAAAGATTGTAATTAATAACATTAATAATGTTTTTTCCTGCTACAAGAGAAAATATGTCCCATGGGAAAAAAGGTCCATTTAAAGACTTCTTGCTAAAGTGAATATACATAGAATTGTTGTTGTGTGTGTACGGGCGTGTGTATACATATGTCTGTAAGGAAGGCAGACAAATATAAATTGGGGACTGACAGAATGAGAGACTGAGAGGCAGAGTGAGTACACAGCTTGCCAGTCATCACTCAGGCAGCAGCAGCAGCAGTGTGTCTCCCTCTGCAGTCCCCTCGGCCTCTTAATTAGTATGAGTCATTGAGAAGATCTCCCCTGGGTCCCGTGCTAGAGAGCAGATCTTTTCATCTGCCTAATAACACGGGACGGGGGAACAAAGAGGCTCGAGTGACAGCAGCCAAACACAAGTGCACAAATACACAAGAGAAGGAGGCACACACTCGACAGATATTAGATTAGCCTGTCGCCTTAATGCTACCAGCTCGCTATGATACAGCAGTGACTCCAGCTACGTAAGGAGATACAATCTGTGTGTAAAGGGGAACCAACGCTATCACACACACACACACACACGCACACACTGTAGAAAACATATTAATAGAAACACAGAAAAAGAGGCAATTCCCTCATGTATTTTGGTGTGTGTCATTCCCTTTGTTTCCTCTCTCCTACCTATCCTACGGATAGGTGTGCCTGCCCCCCCTAGTGGTAAGAAGGTCAAAACCTGACCTTTTGTCCTCAGTATTGTTCTCACATTGGAGTACAGAGTAAATACTGCAGATTGTGGTAGATAACCCACCAACAACCTTCCACATAACACTGTTTGTGATCATTCTTGTACCTATTTTCATACTGGCTTAGTCAAAAAGACACTTACTGTCGTACAGTAAGTGTGAAATGACCTGCTTGGAAAAGACCCATGTCTAATTCTACTCCAGTACTGAAATAATGTGTCATTAATCAAGTAAATAAACCCAAAAGGTGCTCATAACAGCTTCACAAAGGTGAAGAATTGCTTTAATGTTTCTGTTTCACATCATTCCGTATTCAGTATATAGAAATAAAGGCGCCTATTTTAAGGCAAATACTTAAATTAGAAAAAAACTTTAATAGAGTACATAATTAATTGACTAACTGAAGAAAGAGATTCTTAATAGGATTTTTTACCTTGGAAAAACTGTAGTTGACAAAAATGTCACCACAAAGTCCATTTAGTAGCTGTATGGGAGCTTTCAGTCATATCACACAAATCTCTTCAACAGGTGAAGTTTTTCTGAGAACTTTAATGAGGTTTCGTGCATGTGATTTTAAAAATTTTACTTGAAACTGAATTCTTGACCTTGGCAGAAGTAGTTGACAAAAAAGTCAGATCTACATTGAGAATGAGAATAATCCTAAACTGCATCTTTAGTGCTTGACCCTTGGCTGCCAGGTCAAATGTCAACTCTTCAGTGAACGCAACACATCCATTTATTTGAGTGAAACTTTAATCTCATAGCTCGTTTGAGATTCTGTATGTTCAAGGCTCATTCTGAACGAGAGATGCACATGGAACGGCTTGCTGTAATATTTGTCTGTGTAAGTGGCATTAGGCCGTGCAGCCTGCAGACAAACCTGACCTTTTGAAACATTAGCTGGAGATGCTCGCTGCGCTGCTGCTGCCTGGAGGGTGTGGGTTACGAGAAGATGACAGATGATACCGTTACTGGGTGGAGGAGGGGAGAAAGGCAGGCAGGTGAGGAGAGGGAGATAGAGAGGGAGGTGATGGAGGGGAAGGAAGGACAGCTGAAAGCAAGAGATGGTCAGCAGTGAGTGGGTCTGTCAATGCCTCTGTGTCTGCTACAGCCGGTTCCTCTTCTTCAGCATGTCGTGTAGGTTGTAAAGCCTGTGTGTGTGTGTGTCTGTCTGTGTCTGAACTTCTGCGTGATAATTATTATTTTAAGTTTGTGTGTGTATTTAAAGGTTGTGGTGTCCATTCCTACAACTGTGTGACTCATTAATGGCTGGGTAGTGTTGCCATCAATTTTTCCTGTCCTGTATTAGCATTACAGTGTTACTTACTAATACTAGCTACTTCTCTCTGGTAAAAGTCAATGTTTTAAAAGTAACTTGAGTTAAAGAAAGAAATGGCCTATTTTAAAGTTATTGAGCTTCTAGAGTAGAAAGAACATTGCTTCCCTGATCTTTATGACTTTCAAAAGTCTGAGTGGACAGGGTTCATGCATTATTTTAAGTGAAAATTGTGGCTCTTACAAATTAAGAGCACAAAATGTTATCTTCTTTGATGACTGACAGTTCAGTCTGCGGGTTTCTGATTCTTACTGAGAACAACATTCATACCCTGTGATAGAAGTTATTTCAACTGTGATAAATGAATCTAGCTGAGTAAAAACATAATTAAAACAATCATCTGACCTGTAAACAGTAATCTAGCTGAGTAAAAACATAATTAAAACAATCATCTGACCTGTAAACAGTAATCTCAACCTTTTAAATAATTGGTGGAGCAACAATGCAACATAATTACAGCAACAGTTGGATCTGTGTGTGTCTTGTGTTTGAGCAATGCCTTTTTAGAATCCTGTAGTTTGTGTTGTCTGTGTACTGTATGTTACTGTTACTATTTGTATTTGAACCAACTGTCTATTAATTGATCTACGTGAATTTAACTGACAATTTTGATAATCAGTTAATGTTTTTTGATTTTTTATCAAGCAGAAATGCCATTCTAATTGACATTAACATTCACTGCTTCTGTATACTAAAAAGAAAGGAATCCCTGTCATTCTTCTGGTTTATAAAGTTGAAAATTAGATATATTTGGTTTTAAAGAACCAAAACAAGCAAGTTGAAAATGTTACTTTGGGTTCTGAGAACTTGTCATTCCCATTTTTCACTACTTCTGACAGATTGAACTACTCTAACCCTAACCCTTTTAATGGACTTTGGCCCAGTAACTAACTAACCAATCTCAAAGTTACCAGAGCCTAATTGGCCTTAAAGGAATAGTTTTACATTTTGGGAGAAGTTTAATACCACTCTCATGTCTGCCTGTTCAATATGAAGCTAAAGCGAGGAGACAGTTAGCTCGGCTAAGCTTAGCACAAAGACTGGAAACAGCTAGCCTGGCTCTCTCCAAAGGTTAAAAAAAAATTCATCTACCAGTACCTCACAAGAAACGAATTGTATAAATGACAGTGTGTGGTTTTATAGGGAGTTATGTGTCTGACTATTACAGTGAGCAGTGACCCGGAGTCTTGTCATCACAGTGCAGTTTCCACGTGGAGACTCCAGAGCCAAAAAACAACACACTGTTGGCCAACCCATGTGTATAGACAACACATAAATGACTAAAACTACCATTAATGGGAAAATCTCTTGGGAAATTGTATGCTGTCTCAGACCAAATCTCCATTGTAGTCAATATGAAAACATGGATTGAAAACTAAGAACAGTAAATGTAAACCTGATGGAAGTCAATCAGGAAAGTAGTCAGTAGATTAATCATTAATAAAATAATCAATACAGTAGTTGCAGCTCTACGAGTGTTGGATGAGGTATCTGACTGTAGGCATGATTCAGGTCTTGTGTGTGTTATTTTTGGACTTCTGTTACTTGATCAATGGCGGCCATTAGCACCATCGGCTCACCAGAGAGTCACTTCCATTAGAGATGTGAGCAGTGGAGAGTGTCCTCAGTGGGTATTGACCCTGAAAAGGGCCTCACAGTGTAGAGCTTTCAAACTGCCTTTTATTAGACAGAAGGGGACAGAGTCTTTGGAAGCTACCCAAATGAAAAACATTAATGTTTTGGTTTTGCTCACATTGCTGAGAACTTCCCATCAGCGTTAAATAGCAAAGCAATCATAAATCAACAAAATAAAAGTCTTTGCACTGCAAGGTTTTCTCCTCTGTTCCTATAAATTCAAAAGGATTTAAGACTAACCCCATTTCTCAATTTCAAAGAGAGGCCGGAGCCAAAACACAAATGTGTGTGTGTCTGAAGTTGTTCTCGGGAGGAACAATGAAGATTAATATTGTCCCAGAGGAGTCTAGTGATGACACAAGTTTCACTGAAAACTGATGCTTCACTGTGATTTGATTGTAATCCCTGAGTTGATGTCCTCTCGTCCTCATCTTATCATGTCTTCAATTAATTACATTCCCTATCTGCTTCCCCATCTGCAGATCCCACTTGCAGTGTTAAACGGATTACATTCAAGTGCCTAGTAGTTTACATCACAAGCAAGTGGGGGAGATACTAGAGTCACACATGTTTCATATTGAGCCTCCTCTCCTGTGATTTCACATATGTCAATAAACAGACTTTAACTCTTTTAACACAAAACTTTCCACGTGGATTTTGATAAAACAACCAGGGATGACCCAACTGTGAGCTTTCATAGCACAGATTTTACAGATTTGTCTAAAGGGTGAAATTTTAAGACAGAACTCTCTTGTCTGTGAACTTCTCCAAGAGCAGACACTACAGAAGCTGAAGTTGTGACTCGGCTACCGCAGACGACAGAGTTTCCTCTGGTTCCAATTTAGGACCATCTGCTTTGAGAGACGCTCAAACACACTCCAGACCTCGCTCAACCACCCTGTTTTTGTTCTTTAACACTTGAAACACTGAAAGTTGTATTTCATCACAGAATAATACTCACAGGTCTCTGGCTGATGTGTGTGTCTTTCTGCTTATTTTGACATTTGGGTGAATTTAAAAAGGAAAGATACATCTACCCAGAACATGTGCGCTTGAGATGGGTGTATATTGTTCTCAAACGTGGGTAACAGTGAGTGAGTGAACATGAGCAGTTTGACTGCAGGGCCAAGCAGCCCCCCTTCTGTGCATACACACTTTGTATTCTATTCTACTATGTTCTGCTTGCCTTCAACTGTAAAAGTGGAAGAATCAATTTATAATCATTTACCTAGAGTGAGGGATTGATATGCTTTTCATTGCACATTACTCATTACAGAAGAAAGAGGACATAATGATCAATTGCTGTTTAATTCCCTGCCATTTAGTAGTTAATTGTCTTGACTGGGACTAATTTCAATTAGCATTATACTGCTTGTAATGGATTTTTGAGGTCAACTTCACTTTAACTACGTCTCTTTCTCTCTCCCTGCTTTCATTTGCCTCTTTAGGTCCAGCTGTCCAGCGCCAAGTCCAGAATGGACCAACTTCAGATGAGATAGAAGCTCAGAGAGCGAGGTAAAATTTCTTAACCGAAAACAGTGGAATGGTTAAACAATATTTGAAAATGTTTAAAGCCTCTGAAAACATCACATCTTAAGTACTTATCTGTAAAATTAAACATGTATTAACTGTTTGGACAAGCAGTAAACACAACAGTGATATGGTAAACGTGTTAGAAAAAAGTTGCTAATACACAACCAGCAGAAACATAGCAATATTAGCAACCATTTCTTTCCACCTGGAAAATTAAGTCCAAAATTCACTGTCCCACGGCCCCTTTAACATATATGTTTTTATTTAATTCATTGTTAATATGAAAATATTGGTTATAGCACCTTTAAATATTGACAGAATTAGCAACATTCAAGTTTAAAGTTTGTAGGAAAATGTTTGAAGTGATTATTTATTAACATTTAAAAATGTTCTGACTAGGGCAGAAAATTGTGTTTTCAGTGCTCATAGCAAGATGCTGGTTGAGACTCCTCTGTTTAAATACTAGAGTGGGGTCATGGAGACAAGCAATGCAACAAAAGCACAGGAACAATTTCACAGTGACGCTCCAAAGACTGGATTTTTGGAAAAGATAAAAGATTCTCAGCTATATTTAGAGCGTCCACCAGTGACTCCTGCCTGCTTCCAAAATGTTTACCGGTGAGACTTCATGTATTTTAGTGCAGGTACAATGGCTTGTTCAGGACAGAATTGTCTACAAACCAGTGGATGAACTTTACGTGAACTCCAAAGAGTATAGTGATTAGGATTATGCAGTCCAATGTGTCTGACAACCTATTCCACAGAGAGAATATGAACCCTAGCAACTGAGATAAGCAGACAGCTGCCCTTAGTGACTTTTATTTCTATTATTCCTGTTCCCCTTTATCCCATCCTCGCCTTAATATCCTCTGTCTCCCTCACAGGAATATCTCCCATGGGTAACAATCAGATAAAGAAAGTGAGCTTTAAAAAAGGCTGAAACACAAGACTTTTTCAGAATCATAATGGCAGATTGAATATTCCAAAATAATGCATGAGTAGTATTGGAAATGATGCTTGAGGCAATTTCCAGGGCTTACTAAGCATTCTGCAATTCCTCCACTTTGGTTACTATTCCTCTCTACCCTTCAGAGACAGACTCAGGCACAACTAGGTCTTTGGTGCTGTTTTTAAACCTATTTCAGCTCTGCCTGTTGGTTCATCCAAATGCCAAATGCCAGGGCTTAAGAGAACAAATATGATGGGAGTTAAGGCTCTATCTGATCCCATGTCTGATAAACTGTACCTCTGGCACAAAGGATTACGTCTATGATTGTCGGGGGAGATTGTGTGCTTATGTGTACGGGTTTCGGGTGTATGTGTGTGTGTGTGTGTATGTCAATGGACGCAAATTAATTTGACTGAGCTCTCTCCAGTGGTACCAGAGCAGTATTGCTCAGCCGCTCCTGCTGTGTGCGCTGCTGTCACATCGGGGAGGTTGCTGGCTCAGCACTTCTCCTCTCCAACACACAGCTGGAAAATTCCACTTCCTCTCCATGAGCTGTCTTCTTTCTGTCTCTCCTGAGTCGTGACATACATATGCTTCTCAAATCAAAGACACAGATGTGAGGAAAGACGAGGGGAGGTTGATGAGAGCTGGGAGGGGGGCTGTTGTTAGGTGGAGAGTGGAGATAGACGGAGATGAAGGTATGAGTGATATGGGTTTGGACTGACGAGGAGAAAGACGTTTACTTCATGCTGTAATGGTACATGGGGAAACTGTGCAGCGATGCCAAAAAGTTTTTTGAAATGTGTAGACAAGTAGATGACTACACAAATGAAAGCTACATTCAGCATGGTGACAGCACAGAGAAAATTTCATCTGCCACAACTGAGATGCAATTTTGCAGAAAATAATGGTCATAGAAACTAAAGTTGCTCTTAAAAAGCAGCACGTTTAGTAGCAACTTCAGGAATTACACATTTTTCTCATTTCACATCATTTCATTTCATTCAACTTTGTTTTACAGCTGGAGGAAAAAATATGAGACAAATGTATTATGTTTTTGCTTAGAAGGCCTTCCTTAGCATCAGTGCCATTAGTGTGTTTTTTTTTCTCAGCATCAAATCCGTTTTGGGCAATAAGCTACAATAACTTTCTAGGGTACATACAATACTGTAATTTTCACTTCAAGCTAAATAAAAAAAAGCATTAGTAATTTAAAGCTGCACTAACGAATATTTTTTTTTATGAACAAAGGGTCAAATTACCACATGTAATAGAAAGATGTTGCTAGTAGTGATGAACATACATCTCCCGACTGCAATTTCCCTCAGTTATATAGAGTTTTAACTTCTCTCAGCTCAATATTTTTGTTTTACAAGCCACAACTTTATTAATTTGTTTCCACCTCACCACTCTCATGAGCATTGTTTCCAATAGGCTAATGTTTTTCAGCCACCTCACCACAAAACTCTCATTAACCTACTGTATGCTACCTGCCCAGCAACAAACAACAGACAGACGACGTTAGCAACTAGCTGGGGAACATAGCTTAGCATTTAGCAGCCAAAGAGCCAGATATTTCCCTCATGTTGGAGTCCAAACCAGAGCTACAGTCAAAGGAGAGTGACTATGGTCTCACATTCGACAGGTGGACACAAGAATGACTGTGTTGCTGCATGTCTGCTCGATGTGTGAATAGGAAACTGTTTGCTAACACGTTAGCCAAATCAACTTTACGTTTCTTTAAGTTGATAATTGTTGTCATTGTTGCGTGTCCAGAAAAATCAGTTAGTACTGCTTTAAACAATTTACGTTCAAAAACAGTTTGAGAACGTAATGATAATGGGATTAAATTCATGTATCTAATCTATCTAATTTAAAGCAGAAAGAATTTGAGAGCCCAGACACTGATGAAGACCTCAGAAGAAGTCTTATTGACATTTTTCAAATTTGCAAATTTTAGTGCTATATGGTCACAGCTTGTGCATAATGTATCCTGCAGTAATTACTGGGTTTGAAGCCTTTTTAAGGTTACTTGTCACTTGTCTTTGGACCTGCTGATGTTTGAAGTTTCCCATTGCAGCTTTAAGGCAGGAGGACATTTCTTTGGCTGCTGCTGTGAGATGGTTGGCTGCACTGTTCCTGTAGGATAGTAAAATGACAGATTCACAGATAAGACGTGACATTTGTGATATTAACTGAACAGCAATGTTTCCTTTCTGTCCCTTTAGGCAGATAATGGAGCAGCAGCAGCAGCAGATGCAGGCACACATGGAGCGGGAGCGACGGTCATCCAACTCAGGTACTCACCTTAAAGAGCACATGTCACCTGAAGTTTATATTCAGTAAGTGCAGGTACATATAGAGACAAATTGACTCTTCACATGTCCCTCTCTCTCTCTAGGTTCTCCTTTCCAAGGCCACCCTGCTGTGCTCTCAGTGGCCCCCCCTGTAGTACCTCCCCCAATGAACATGGGGGGTCCTCCTCCCCCTCCACCACCGCCAGGACCTCCGCCACCTTCAGCAGGTGCACCCCAGCCTCCTCTCCCGCCTCCACTTCCCATTGGTGGAGGGAGTCACGGGGACGAGCCCCCCGCCCAGACGGGTCTTGCCGCTATGATTGCTGGAGCCAAACTGCGCCGCGTTCAAAGAGTGAGGCACCAATATGTCTTTGTGGCTGGATTATCTCCACCAAACCTGACTGACATACTTGAAGTTTGCTTCAACTTTATTTGTACATATCAGAGAGTAACACGTAACTTTGGACTTCACTCCTCTCCTCTCCTCAGCCTGAGGACAGCTCTTCAAGCTCCAAAAACGATGCCAACCGAACAAGTGGAGGAAGTGGAGGACTGATGGAGGAGATGAACGCTCTGTTGGCGCGAAGGTCAGAGCTATCAATTGAGAAAACCACAAAACCATTTTGCATTTTTGAATCGATATCTTGCCGACACATTAGACATAATTGGTCACTAAAGCCTTTAATCAATGTGCAATTCAGGATTGATTAGTAAAAATTATTATTTCACTTAAAACCCTTGACCTTCATGGATTTGGATAATATGTTCTTACTTGAGGCTTCTTCTTTCCCCCAGAAGGAAAGCAGCTTCAGAGAAGCCCGAGGACAGCCAAAATGTGAGTTAATGAAAAACAGTGATGCTTTGCAATTCATGAGGCTTTTGTTTACTCTTTAACAATGATTATTAGGTTGATGATTGAGGGAGGGATCATGAGGTGGTGATTCAGTGAGTCTGACAATAATAACTGTTATTTTGATGTATTGTGATTTTCATTATTTGCATAATGATGAAAGCATACAGTCACAATGATTACTACAATGAGGACAACATTACAAACAACAGAATCACTGCTGTAGTTGTGCAGGTGGCAAAATATCACACCTCAAACTACAATGTCTATGATGATGTGATGATGGTGATGATAGTGGGGGTAGTGATGCTTTTTAATCCTTGTGTCTTCCTTTAGGATGACCCAAATTCTCCGTCACCCAGCACCCGCAGTGGACAGAATGCCACAGGTGGGGATAAGTGAGCACAGTAAACTAAGTTACAACCTCACAAAATGTTTTGAGTGTTTTCTATGCTTTGGAAATCTCATACAGTCTCAGAGAAGTTAAACATATAAATGAATAAGTATATAGCAGACACACTGGACAGACGGTGGAAGAAAGGGACTTTATATGTTTTCATCTATTTAAAAGATCATTCACTTGACACAATCTGTATCTCTGTATGTCTGTGTACAGTGTGTATGTGTCTTGGGGGTTTGTCAGGGGTTATGATGCCTTATTATATAATTTCCTTTAAATCTGTTCTCATGAAAATAATTTACAGTAAAAACAGAAAAGATACTGAGAATCACTGATCAATACCAATTTCAAAAGACTGTAGTGTTAACTGATACAGTGGTGGAAAGTACATTACTCAAGTACTATTTGAGTCCATTTTCTACAACTCTATACTTGTACTTGTACTACATTTCAGGTAGACATTGTACTTCTGTACATTTATAAGACAACTATAGTTGCTAGTAACTTTATAGATTAGGATTTTGCATAGAAAATATAAGATAAGCTTACAAAATACACAGCATTTTTAGAGAACAAAATTCTTAAAGGTATGTAAAATACTTAAAATGTGCTCCACCTTGACCAGCTACAACGACAAATACTACTAAGCTGCTTAACGCATTCACGCATCTGAAACATCAAACTAATAGTGTAATATGCAAAAATATAAAACTCACAACGAACATTTCCATGCATAATGTGTGCTTTTTCTTTTGATTCTTTGAGTAAATGTTTCCAGTGAACTTTTGTACTTTTGCTTGCATCAGATTCTAAAACTTGTAAACAATGCAGTATTGCTAGTTTTACTTGTCAGTATGGGATCTGTGTATTTCCGCCACTGTGCAGCTATAATGTAAATGTTAAAGGTAAAGTGGACAAGTCAGGTGGGAAAGTAAGTAAAACAATTTAAAAATCAACTCCTGAAAAGGAGACTGATCTGAGGATCTGCTTTTTACCCAACCCTTTTTTTTACATTTATGGTCAAAATTGCTACCAACTGCTATGTATATGTGGAAACATATAACACTATATTGACTGTACTACCTCTATCTGCGTATCTATTTTTGCATCTAGAACATATCTGGCTGTCTGAGAATCTAATATGTTGAAATGTCAGTAAATCCCTGCTGGTTACTCTGTCGTCTAGATGGTGCAAAGAAGCCGTGGGACCGAGCTAACTCTGCAGACAGGTCAATGGCTTCAAGGTGAGAGATGAAGGCAACACAGCTCATTGGGTATGAAGCAGAACAACGACAGTGAATCTAATAGAGAGTGTTTTTTGTATTATGCAGGGTACGACCTGTTGGAGGTGGCAGTGACACAGACTCGTTAGACCTTGACAGAATGAAACAGGTAAAGAAAACACATCTTACTCCGTAATAACTGCACACTACTCAAAGTCAGAACACTAATCACTAGCCAAAAATTGGATGTGACTTGTTTTGTTTTTTTAATCTCCCTTCTCTTTTAGCATGTGATCACTATGGTATCCAAACCTCATTTGTTTTCCAAAAGTTATTTTGGTTGGGGGCGGGGGGGCGTGTTTGCTTCTACAATAAATAAAGAAATGTGTGAGGTATTATGAACACTTATGTTATCTGTTTGTTTGTGCTTCGTTAGGAAATCTTGGAAGAGGTGTTTCGTGAATTGCACAAAGTGAAGGATGAAATCATTGATGGTATGTTTAATTTTCTCACTAAAGAGGGATAATCAATCCACATGTAGGAATACTGTCTCTCGCCTAATTTATTTTGATAAATATTTCATTGGAAATCGAACCAGTGGGATGATGGGAGTTAGGTTGTTATGTAGAGTTGTGACCACTAGGCCGCACTAGAGCCTCAGGAACCTGAACATGGAAACAAAACAGAAAGACAGAAAAGTAGAATTGTGTTAATCACATTGTCAACCCAGGGAGTCATTTCTATCACACTGCGAACACATGGATGGATAATGGAGCCAAACTGATTCTCCAAATATAATAAAATGATTCTGTGGATCAGCTGAAAATATATCATTTATAACATTAACTCGCAAATATTACATTAAAGAGACAGTAACATTTTATTAGACATGTAATTAAATGATAATACTTTGCAAAGTAATCTCAATAATTGAATAAATATTACAACAATATTATTTTTAACACATGTAGTAGACATATATTATACAATATTGTGATTTTAAAATGTTTTTTAATGATAAATGCAAAATAATAATTGACTAAATACTACAAAAATCAAGATATCAGTCATAAATTGCAACTGTCAATTTACTTGATAAAGAAATGTACCATATTTTGAAAGATTGTGTATTGACTTGAGAGAAATTTCAATACTCTGGGTAATCATATTGTCTGTCAATAGTTAAAATATGCAAACAATATACAAAAACAACTCATAGGAATGTGGATTACATTGTCAATCCATTAGGAGGGTAATTTGCATTAAACTCCATAAATTTGAGAGACACTGGGGGACAAGAGACAGATTTAAAAAAATAAATGTTTCAATTGAAGCAGCAGAGGCTGAGATATATTAAGTCCATAATGCAATTGGATAGTGTCTTTCACTAGACCCTTCCTGCCTTGTGCCCCTTTAACTTGTCACTTCAGGTCCTCACTATGGACAATAGAGACAGGGTATTATGTTATGAGGATATATTATCAATCTAACCTGTATAATCAGCCTAACTTTCTTCCTGTGTTTTCTCTCCTTTGCCTACAGCCATTAGACATGAACTCAGTCGAGTGAGCACGACATAATCTTTCAGAGTCACTCCCCGACATGAAACACCTCTTTGAACCATTGCCCCTGCAGCAACTGCTGTGGCCCTGAGGAGGAGGAGAAGTCAGGAATGGAGGCCCAAACTGTGACATCTACTCATCCTGTTCAGCTGTGGTGTTGAAGCAACGCAGCAATTTTGCTATAACACCTCAGACATGTCTGTGTAACATTTGGTTTGTTCGCTTGGAGAGAATGGGGCACACTCTCGCACTGATTACTCGGATTTCTTAACATTTTCTGTTTGTTAGCCCTGTTCGCCACTCTGTCCTCGGCCTAAAGGAAAATGGATAAAATTCATAGGATTTTGTTTGTTTTGCTTTTTTCACAAGTTTGTTTTAAACTTTTTTATTATTACTATCATTTTCATTATTATTACTATCATTTTTATGATTGTCAATGTATTGTTAATAATATGAGTAGTAGTAGTGTAGTGAGTACAATGGTAATAATGAGGAAATGATAATGAGATTATGATAGTAATGATAATGTTGATCATTATTATTGCACATCATTTTATGTCAGCCTTTTGTATTTTATATTGGTTGTTTTCATTTGTTTTTGTTTTAGATACAGTTGCAAGCACATCCAAAAAAAAAATGTTTCCTCATCATCTAACCTGGAACATTTTTTAAAAGTTTTTTATCCTTTTCGCCAACACAGCTGTGTGTGGAAACCATGGCAGAAAAAAACGATACCGAGGGTGGAATAAACTTTGGATATTGCAATCTTATAAACAAAAAAAATTAAATAATACACCAGAGTATTTGTGATCATGTTGTTAATAAAATGTTTATTGGCTGCAAGGATATGGTGAAGTATTGTTCATTTTATTCTCTCCTTTTCTGACAAAGTGCTTCCTGGTTTGACAACAAAAAAAAAAGAAACGCACTAAGTTTAAAATGAATTCAAATAAAACTGTGAACAATGTCTTGGATAAATGAGGCCGTCTCGTTCCTTTTGTGTTTGGGTGCTTTTTTATTCCTGTCTGGTGTCTGTGACTGTAATCTTTCTTTTCACTTTAATTTGTTTTTGCAACACAAACACTTGTGCTTATTAAACAGATGCCATAAATTACTGCGGCAGCACAGAGAAGTGTGAAACATCTTCTGTGCAACCTTATTGTCTTTTTCAAGTGTTGCACACTATGTAGGATGCTGTTAAAATGTCCTGCAAAAATATTTCCTAAATAGATTCAAAGGATAAACTCAAATAATCAATGAATGAAGTAGAGTTTTAATGTATTAGTTTATTTATTTACAGGATACTGTGATATTTGTTTGTTATAATGATCTGTAATTATTAATTATAACACCAATTCATAGATTCAGCCATAGATGTGTATTGTGTTCCCTGTCTGAGGCTGCTGCCTCTTGTGATAACTTATCAATTAACTAAAACTACATGCTTTTTCAGCTCAGCATGTTAGCTACCTAAATACTATGTTGCTGCTGTCCACTGGATGCAAAAGGTAGGAAGAGGAAAATGAGTTCTCATTTGTCTTTACTGAAAATTAAATGCGTTTATACTTTACACAGCTTTCCATGCACATACAATCTTTGGCAGGTTTCGAAGAAAATGCTGCAGGCTACATTGTCAGTAAACATGAACTCCTCCATAAACCCCAGAAATTACTTTCTGAAGAAGAACATGTGATTTACAGGGTTGCTGTTCATAAATATTTATATAATTTCAAAGTGTAAGGATGGCATCAAATGCAAGAATAGCTGATGCGCTGCTTTCCATGAAGCACCACAAACAGTGATATCACAGTCGGTGTTTAGCTCTACTTGGCAAAGCACCTGCTGTGACATCACTGACTGAGGTGTGGACACAGGTGTACCTGCTGTGAAGCTTGAGCTCATAGAGAACAGTGGCAATTAGACACACATCTATGTCTACAGCCAGTACAGAACTTAGACTCAGGTTTGATCATCATTATTTAGCTTTTTATTCAGTCTATGTTTTTATTACAGGATTTAGGTATCTAGTCAGTTGTGACAGACATTTGTTATTTTGGATATTTTATAGACAAAGTATTTGATTAATTGAAAACAATCCATACAGCAAGTGAAGTTCAATAATAACAGCAGCTCTAATTTGTTAAATATAACATTGAGTCAAACTATTCTAATCAGAGTCAGAATCAGCTTTATTGCCAGGTATGTGTACACATACGAGGAATTTGACTCAGGATTGTACATTGCTCACGATGTGCTTACTCATACAAAAATACAATATCACAATAATAAATATAAAATTAAATCAGACACAGACTTCAGTGTAGACAACACAAATATACACACCATGAACAAAAACAGTATAAACATATAGACAAATAGTGCAGTGAGCAGAGTGCAAAGGATGCAGGAATTAATGTAATCTGCCCGTTGGATAATATTGATCCAAAAATTAAGTTTATATGACAAATACGAGTAAACCTCATGTCAACAAAGTTTGGGAACCCCCCCTGCCGCTATCAGCAACAACACTATAATCGCTGGGTTCAATGAAGTCTCGCGATGTTTCGTCATGAGAGCATAGTGGCGACGAGAGGTGGCGTGGGACAGAGCGAAGAGAGTTGTTATCGAAGAGGGAGAACAGAGCGAGGCAGGAGCAGAGCTGGGGGTGTGTGAGTGTGTTTGTGAGGTCCAAAAAGGAGCACAACACGGCGTGAATGAGAGAGGCAAGCTGGCGGAATTCAACATGGCATCCGGAGATACGCTGTACATTGAGACAGACGGCTCGGAGATGCCGGCCGAGATCGTGGAGCTCCACGAGATAGAGGTGGAAACGATACCGGTGGAGACTATCGAGACCACGGTGGTCGGCGGGGATGACGACGACGACGACGACGACGGGCAGCCCATGATCGCGCTCCAGCCGCTGGTCACGGACGACCCCAACTCGATCCACCACCACCAGGAGGTGATACTAGTCCAGACCCGGGAGGAGGTGGTAGGTGGGGATGACTCGGACCTGCACACGGACGGCGGCAGCGGGTTCGAGGATCAAATCCTCATCCCGGTACCGGCTCCAGGGGTGGAGGACGAGTACATCGAACAGACTTTGGTGACTGTGGCTGGGAAGAGCTCAGTGGGTCGGGTGAAACGGGGAGGCGGCACTGGTGGCAAGAAAGCGGGCAAAAAGAGCTATTTAAGCGGCTCGGAGGCTGGCGGAAGAAAATGGGAGCAGAAGCAGGTGCAAATAAAGACACTGGAGGGGGAATTTTCTGTTACAATGTGGGCATCGGGTAAGTAACGTTAGCCCAGCCGTGTCTGTCAGCTCCGTTGTTAGCCGTTGCATGAGGCCTCATTGCCAGGGCGTTGTCCTGCTGCACCAGACTAGTTCCTGGAGTGGTCCGTCGCACTGCCGTGTGTAGCGACAAATAACGCAAGTTTTCGATGCAAACCCCTACTGTACCATAGCGAAATGTTTTTGTTTTGAAGGGAGGCCATGTTTTAGGTGTTGCTGGGCGCCGCCATATTCCCCTAGACTAGTAAGTATGGCGGCGGCCCCGAAAAAATGGCGATAGTCACGGCCAGGCAGAGATGGCGGCGGTGCTTGGGGGAGATAGACAGCTGGGTTTGGGATGTCTGCAGGCCGCAAAACAGTGGCGACCGCGGTGCTCAACTGTAGCTGGTGTAGCACCGGAGGATTATTTAAAGTGTGTAAAAGCTTAATGTGCGTGGGAATTTGAGTCAGGAACTATTTAGCCAGTAAACCGTTTAGCCGTTAGCTGTGGTTGCTGTTGGTAGTTCACCAGACAGGTTTGCGTCTGCGTCAGGCTAGCTGCCTCTGTCACCGTGCAGTGTGGTGGGACTGGGTGCAGTGTAATACTGACCAAGTGGTAATCCAGCATTAATGGAAAGGGTCTCATAAAGGCAAACAAGAGGGTATTTTCTGAGGATGCTTATTTAAATTGACAGCCAGATGAAAATCTCTGAGACTCAACCTGTTCATTTTGTTTATGTGGACACAACAGCTATTTATAGTGCACTCTGCTGGTTAGTTGGAAGTTATCAATAGTTCTACTTCTTATTTTTACACATGCACGTCTGTATCAAAAGGAAGCAATTGATTATAGAGAAAATCCATTTGTATAACTTAAGAATATCACGCTTTAGGTTTATGTGTACACCTTTTATCTCTTTCCCGTACTTTAAATAGTGTATTTTTGAGTCAAAATTAAGTAAAAAAAACATTAATTTTGGTAAAATTGTAGTTGTTTTTATTTATTATATTTGTTGCCCCAGCTTACATTTTTCCTTATTTTTTACTCTGCATGTTTGTGATGTTTGGTTTTGTCATGTCACTTGGCAATGTGTCATTAGAAGAATAAGATATACTTAGCATAATTAGCATCCCATTTAGCAGTTCTTTTTTAAACGTATTTACAGTACAATTTAAGTAAGAACCCACAAATTTATAAGCTGTAGAAACTATTTAATTATATGGAAATAGGTAATTTTAGTAACAGTGATGTGACTCTTATTAAAACCACCAAGGCAGATGTTTTTGCCTTCCCCCAGACTGGTAGCTAGGGAAAAACCAATATGTTATCGGTTCAGTCTCTGTAATGTGTTTCTAGATGACAATAAAGACATTGACCATGAGTCGGTGGTGGAGGAGCAAATCGTCGGGGAGAACTCTCCTCCAGATTACTCAGAGTACATGACAGGGAAGAAGCTGCCCCCTGGTGGCATCCCGGGGATCGACCTCTCAGACCCCAAACAGCTGGCCGAGTTTGCCAGGTGAGTGTGTGTGAAATGTAGTATGAAATAACTCTTTAATAACTCTGCACAATTAGATACTATGTTGCTAGGGCATGCATGATCAGTTTAGTTTTTTTACAACAGATTTTAATGTCCTTTTGAATATACTGGCATTTTTCTTTGTTTTGTTTTCTCTATCAAAATACAAGATTCAGAATTCTTATTTATCACTTTCAGTACATGCAGTTAAATGCGCAATGAAAAAATTTAAAATACCCAAATTTTCATTTTTTTGCCAAAAATGTTATCACGATAAAACAATTCACATCATTGGATATCGATAATTATCACAATAAATGTCAAATCATTATTTCTTTCAAGTTTAAAGGCTAAATTTTGCTCCTGAGTGAAAGTTGAATAAACCAGATGGTTAATTGTGGTTTTAATCTATTCTTTATGATCAGAACAAACACTTGACGCCAAACAGTGGATCACTTAACAAACCTGAGGTAGAACATTCAAAACAATTATGATAAAATCTTTTTTCAACAAAATTGGGTGAGTTAAACTAAGTTAAATCTTTTTTCAGGCCCTTTTCCTCAACGAAATAAATACCTTAATAAAAAACTGCTTAAAAAAGTGCTAATTCGTATGTGATTCAAATGAATTAAATCAAACATTTATTGAACATTTGTTATAATGTTGAGGAAAAGGATGTCGCGATAATTATCGTTATGTTTTATTGCCCGGTCCTAAAATATAAAGAAAAAAATCTAAATAATTGTAAAAAATAAATAAGAAAAATAAGGGGGAAAAAATCATATAAAAGGGAAATCAAAGATAAAGTTGATATAATATGAAATACAGTCACTTACGGTAGGTATGTAGGCATGTTTGTGTGTCTGCATATTGATTTATGGTTATGCACAAGGTTTGAGCAATTTTATTTGTATACTATGTATTGGGGAACGTAGCCTACACCATTGTTATGGCCATGTGCTAAAAGTAGACCAAAAGGAAGTATTCTGCAGACCCTTATTAGATTGTGTTTTGATATAAAATGATTATTAATTGATTACAGAATAGCACCTGTGGTGCTGCTGCCCAAAAGTGTCAGGGTGTTTTAGGGGAGTCTGTTTTGGCCCCTTGGTCAAGGTCAAAACTCAGGGGACACCCGAAGGTGATAAAATAAGAGGAAAGTCTGCAAGAAAGTCAGTAAACCTTTT